CAGACGGCCATCCTCATGGATGGCTGGCCGCAGGGTCCCCGCCATCTCTGCGGTGTCCTGCGGAATTCCAAGGGTGGCAAGAAGGGGAAGTCAGGCAAAGGGAAAGGCAGCGTTGCTCGCGACGGACAGGACCCCCCCGGCCCCGGACCCGACCCTCAAGAGCACACGGTGGACGTTCCCCGGTGCGAAACCGTCTTTCGGGAGGACCGCAACGCCCAAACAGCCATCGGCACTGCTTTCACTGGACTCAGGCAGGTTGCGGGCGAGCACATGAAGAGTGGGGCGCTCAAGCTCACCACCATCGACTCCAGCCAGGGTGGTGAGGCGGACATCGTAATCGTACTGACTACGAGGAGCAACGGGAATCACAATTGGGGCTTTGTCGACGACGCCAAACGCCTGAACGTGGCAATCACTAGGGCCAAGCGGAACATCCTGATGTTGGGAGACGGGCGCATGTTCGCCAATGCCACCTGGTCCCAGCTGCGTGTGCTCTCTGAGTACGGGCGCTTGACCCGCCTCTGGGTTCGATTCGGGGGCAGCGCCCCCGCTGGCCACAGGAGATCCCTGGTCATCGACGAGAGCTTCGACCGGCTGCCCGCCCTCGCCACCTGGGTGCCGTCACCTGTCGCCTGGAGCTGCGATGCAAAGGGGGAGAGCGGGCGAAATGAGCTTGATGCGGCCAAAAAGAAAGCACGCGACGCCCAGGCGAGCGGTTTCGCCGAGCGCTACAACACCCCCCTGGATGAGGACTTCGACTGGGACTCCCTGGGTAAGCTCATCTCGGCCGGTCTCAACGAGATCCTCTCGACGCCTGCCTTCCACGTGCTCATCTATCTGGTGGCGGGACTACACCCGCACGAGTTCTCGCTGGCGGAAACACCGCGACAACCGGGCAAACTCGACCGCAAGGCTTGGTCGCACCTGGGCTTCCTGTTCGACATGTCCCTGGGTCTAGACGCGACCAATCTAGTCTACAACATGCTCTGGGCTGCCATTGTGTGGACGCTCGGCCTTGGCACTCCCTGGCATGACGCGAACTACGCAATCCACGACGACTCCCTTCCACCGGTGCCGCACGTCAAAGGAAGGCGTGTAACACTCTGTGGGCGGCGCCAGTGCGCCCCCAAGGGGCTCTTCCGACAGGTCCCCCAGGCGTGGAGCGCAGCAACCAAGGATTGCTGCAGGCACAGGAAGCACCCTGGAATGGCTGGCCTACAGGACATCCTCCGCGGCGCTTTCGACGACCCTAAGCGGGACCAGATCGTAAGGAGATTATAGACACCGACGGCCTCCCCATGGAATCCTGCAAGGCCCGGTCGCTCTTGGTCGTCATGATGCTAATGCTCCGCGAGCCACGCGTGTTCCTGTGGCCTTTCTCTCACGCAGAGCAGACCGGGGACGTCATCGAAGCCATCCTGGGTTTCTGTGTCCCCTGGCAGGAAGCGCACCGAGGGTTCCGGCACGACCTTGCACGAACCTTAGCCGACCTCCACGGTCGCATCGAGGCAATCCTGCCCCACATCTCCAAGCTCGTAGCGGTGGCGCACCACCACCCGGAGGCGCGGGCAGCCGGCTGCCCGCAGACCTGGAGTGAAATGGACAGGCAGGACTTTCAGTTGAAGGCGCCGATGCTCGTCCTCGAGAAGATCGTCCCAGCCGCCTGCCTGGCTACCCTGGGCACGCACCGCTGCTCGGTGTGCGCGCTTCACGTCGCGCTGGCGGGTTCCGACGCCTCCCTGGGTGACGACGACCGGCTTGCCGGGCTCGCCTACATCGGCGGCGGATTCGCATTATCCAACACCGACCTCAACGCCCCCTTGCCGCCCACCCCCGCCCCAGGCACCAGGCAGGACCCTCCACGCATTCCCGACGACAGGCTGACACCCGAGCAGAAAAATGGCAGGTTCAAGTGCGACAGCTGCGGTAAGGACCAGCTACGCTCCACCGATGGCACGTGGATCTCCGACGACACGCGCCTGATGGTAGCACAGAACAGGCCCCAGGCCTACCTCAACGGTGCGAACATGGGATGGCACTGCGAGACCTGCTGGATCCGATACCTGGAGGAACAGGGCATTCCAGCACCAACCGGCGCAACAATCGCCGACAAGGTCAAGGAGCACGAGCAACAGAGGACGGGCGCCGCAAGCAACGAAAAGGCGGACGCTCTCCCCTCCCTGGGTCACCTCCCACTTGGCTTTGGATGCAGCCCCCAGGCGGACACGAGGTCGCTGTCGGACCTCATCATGACGCCGACCGGCATGCAGATCCCTGAGCGCGCCAACACCACCATTCCCATCCTACGGATCAGAGACGAACGGTTCCGCCTCAAAGCTGCGCAGAGCAAAATCTACTCCGCTCGGTGCGACACATGCCCCCCACGGGCTCCGCTCATCGTCTGGAACACAGAAGCCCCTCCCCTGGGCTGCTTCATATGGAAGCCAGCGGAGGGGGTAGGGGATCCCGAGCAGGCCGGACTGCCTCCCATCGATAGGCGAGCCATAGCCTGGTGGGAGCGCAGCTGGAACGCCACCTGGTGCTGCCGACGCTGCCTGGTCCCCGTATGGAATATCGGTCCTGCTACCCTGGACCACATCCTTGATAGGGACTTCAGAGCGCTGTACCCAGCCGAGGCCCCTGTCCCCCCGACGCTCAACAGCCAGATAGGAGCTGATGTACTAGTGGATAGATTCAGCTCTCTCCCATGGTTAGGCGCAGACGCCAAGGCCCAAGATCGCTGCACCAAGGCCGGAGCGGCAAACCTCCCTGGGTCTAGCGCCACGGGTGGTGCGGCCTCCGCTGCCGAGCGAGCCCCCAGGTCGCTAGCACAGCTCATGGAGCTCCTGCCAGAGCTGCCAGTCCCGCAGGGCCCGCTCCTGGACAGCAGGGACGTCAACAACCCCACGCTGAGCCCAGACGACCCCGGGAGCGGACCGGGCAGCGGAGACGTGTCCGTACTGCGACTCCTGGTAACCTACCTCCGGGACTTCCACCCTGGGCTGGACTACACCTGGCGACAGTTCTGTCTCACTAACCGCGACAGCAGCATCCCAGAGCCTAGGAGCGACGAAGCCTTGTTCGGAGTCCGATGTGAGTCCACCTGGTCGCCGAACTTGATCTTCTCCATGTCGAGCTTCTGTGGTCTGGATTTGTTGACAATAGCAAATCGTTATTCCACGATCGCCCTGAGTACGCTTTGCTTCGATAGCAATCTCATTCTGACGTTTGATTCGAAGGTGTCTGGTGAGATTTCCAATGCTCCTTTATGTGCCATGGTCGTCGCCGGGTTCTCGTCATAGAAATCCCAAGGAGCGTAGCCAAGAAGAGCGTTGGCCGGAGTGCTGCCACCGAAGTTGAGGAGGAGGTTATGTGTCATCGCTGCCTCATACACTAGGGTCTCGTTGGAGATGTTCAGGCCTTCCTTCTCGGCTACGACTGCGTTCTTCTGGGCGATCGACTTGGTCATTCGAATGTGTGATTCCACCAATCTGGTAGTGGTCTTGTTTTCCTGCGAACTCTCGTTTGATCGTGAACCTGTCCAGCGTGGTCCCCGCGAGATCTGAAGTCGAGGAACCTTCTTGATATGAAACAAATGTCTCCATGGGTCCGAAGAATCTGATCCAACATTCTACCATGCAGCGCAAGTATTATGGTGCGGTCTTGTCCATCATCACGCCGATGACATTGTATCTGGTATGTTCGCCCACCAGAATAAGCCATACCATATCCCAGAGAAAGAGATCTCCTTGCATTCGCCCGTTAAACTTCGTCGTGGTATGTGCTCTGAATGCTGGTCGGTGAAGTGGCATGGAGCATTTCCTACATCCTTCACACAGCTCCTTGACAACTTGTGGACAGAGCTTGGGGATGCTCGCCTCCGCTCCAAGTGCTGCTACTAATCTCGCCATCTCGTCCGGGGTCGCATGCCAAAACTTCAAATGAAATCCCAGTAGTAGTGCCAACCTCGCTTGATCCGAAGCCGCCTCTTCGAGTTGATGTTTAAAGCGCTGTAAGTCGAAATTGGGCTTGATGGTGATCGCCTTCTTGGGTGATTATGTGCTGATTCCTGGTAGGTCCGTGGCATCGCCCTTTTCACTCGCGTCCAATTGTATAGGATCAAGTCCAGGAGGTGGGCCTGGTGCGAGTTGTTCTGGTTCTGGTACTTCAGGTGCCTCAGCAGGTGCTGGAAGCGGTGCTGGAGCTGGTGCTTGAGATGGCGCGTGAACTGGCGCAGGTACTTTAGGAACTGGTGCCGGGGCCTTCGGCACGACTGGTGCTGGAGGTGGTCCAGCTGCTTTAGGAGGTTCACGATTGGGATCGAAACTGCAGCCTTCCGTCCGAGCGCGTGTAGTGCCAGCCTTGTTTCCATGCTTGCAGCGAGTACACGTCCAAAACAATAGGTCCAGTGGCGTCTTCTGAGTCATCTCGATCCTCTTGCCAATGTCCTTCAGAATACTCTTGCACAATTTCTCACTGAATATCTTGGCCTTGGACGTCTGTGACCCTCCGACGAGCCACGCATGAGGTCGAACGCATTGACATAAAACGGATGTTCGTCTCATTCGGAATGAGGCCACAAACATTTTTCTCTTTTGAATCGGCGCTCCCTCTGAATATTGCGCTCCGTGTTGGCATTGATCACATATGTTATTGTACATCCGTTCGTCGGTCTTCAGCGGTGATTCTTCCCATGTGGCGCTCTTGGCCGGGTTCTCAATGATGTAGTCGGCGCCGTCGGTGTGAGTAGCCTTGCTCTCGTTCGTGATCCACTGAAAAGCTGATTCGTCTGCTGATCGATTCGCTGCTTTGATCTTAGGATCAGCCGTCTGGTTTGCCTGAGACCAAGGGGTACATTCTGGAGTATAAACCTTAACCTGAACTCGAATGGCCTGCTGGAAACGTTTGATGTTTTCTTGATGTTCCTTCGAACTCAAATTCCAACCATATCGAGTGTCCGTGGGAATGAGTGCCAGGAAGTCGCTTCGATACGCCCAGAGGGATAATGTGCAGCTGCCAGAGAAGTGTTCTTGCATGTTCACGCTCGTCACGTTGTTGTCCTTGAGATGCCTCAGGAAGCTGTCTGCATTCTGGGGCGTGATCATCACTAACTTTGTCTTGGTATGAAATATTTCTGGAATGCCGTGATGATCCTTCTTGAAGCGATCTTGTTGGGCTTGATCCAGACCTTCTGGGATAACGTCTGCAATATAACTCTTACCCTTGAATGTGATCCAGGTCTTCCAGAAAAATCGTGTCTTTGTGCTGGTGGCTCGTCTCGTCGGGTACTGATGCCTTGGGGAGCAGTCGTCGTCGTCACACTTGTGCACCGAGGATTCGGCTTTTACCTTCACGAAATGGCGTGTACCTGGATGGGTCGGTGATATGATGTGCTCTCGAAAATCGTCAATTCTTTGCCCCGGGTCACTCAACTGTTTCATGATATCCGCCTCGGGTAGTTCCGAACCATGTCCTGCAAAGCTCGCAGACTTCGCTCGGGTGCTAGTGTCCAATAGTGCTTCGTCAACTTGAAACTCTGCCGATGGGCCAACCGAGCGGGTTTGTTTAAACTGCCAGAAGATCTGGAGGTGGCCCTTGATGATGCCATGAAGGCACTGTTGATCAACTTCCTCTCGAATATGTTGGCTGTCCGTTGGTATGATATAGTGCCGAGAGTCCGTGAGTAATAATCGCATGTATACAGGTGGTGCCTTATTGCCAAGTCGTCGAGTCTCAGGGAATCGCTCGATATCGAAGAGTTGGTGCCCATGGCATGAGCCCTGGGCACCAACTTCCCACGCCGCCAATCATGTATCCTGTGAATGTCGCGCCACGCACGGCTGGGATCTTGAGCGGTACCACTGCGTACCAATGCCAGGAGTGGGTTTGCCGTCTATGCCAGTGAACTGAGCTCTTGTTGGTTTTGATTCGATGCCTGCACGACCAAGTACTTCTGTCTGGTGTTCCCGAACAGTATCGTTTCCAATAATACCTGACGATGCTCCAGGATCGTATAACAAACCAAACCTTCCCGTACCTCGAATGGAATGATAACTCGTATGAATCTCTTCCGCTTGGTGGCAGTCCGTCGTAGAGTGCTGCTGGTCACAACATTGGTTCTGTACTTCTCTTACCAAGAAATCCAAGCCGCCAGGAACAATGCCTCTGGGAAGTCGTTTGGGTTAGTATTGGTCATCGTCGTCAAAAGTAACCGGTGATCCCATATCTGATCCGAACTCCTTCTGGTTGTTTTCTCGATGTTTGTCGTCGGGTCGTTGGTCCGGCTGCTGCTGTCGGTGCGGATGGAATTGATCTCGAGGGTCCGTCTTGGAATCCTTGTTCTAGGTCGGGTGATTCAGGATCGTCAAGGCTGTATGAGGGCACTGTCTGCAATGAAGACCATGATGCTGCATTGGGCGTCTCCTGATGCGTCGAGGCTGTCCACGGCGTGTCCATGTTGTGCGTGGTTCCTTTTGCATACCAACTACCGCGAGTGCTGCACCATTCCTCGTCGTAGTCGTATTCCTCGTACTCGCCGCAGTGACCCCTGCTCTTCGTACTTTTACCTTTGCCTCTTCCTCGATAACCTCTTCCTCGTCCTTCGCTTTTGCCGCGACTCTTGCCACTGCGGCATTTCCCTTTTCCGTTGTTCTTGCCGTTGTTCGAGTCGGATCGGTCCTTACCTTTGCAGACATTGTCGCTTTTGCCGTTCGTCTTCTCCTTGGAGCCGGCTGGGCAGTCCTCAGCCTTGTGCCATAGTGATCCACACTTACTGCAATTCCTGGATTGTTTTTCTTGCCCTTGCCGGATCCTCTGTACGCTTCGTCCTCTATCAATGCCGGTGGTGAGTAGCTGTTCTCGTTGTAATCTTGATCATGTGAATAATCCCACCAATCCTCGTCGTCGTCGTAATCATGCCACTGGCCGTAGTCGTCGTAATATCCATAGTAGTTTCTTAATCTTCCGAGTCGATCCAATAGCCTTCGTATTGTTCAGGATTGTTCTGGGCCAGTGACTGTTTGGCGAGACGTGCCACGATCGCTTTGATGTCGCTGTATCTGCGAAGGTCGCCGTCGATATTGAGCTTGATGGGGTTGAGTCAGGCTTGGACTACCGCTTCGTCATATACTAGCTCAAAATCTGAAATGTTTTGTCCGAGATCCCTCGGACCTCTCTTGAATAAAAAGAAAATGTCGAGTGCCACTCCTACCGTGTCTTGATCATGCAATCCATATTCCGTTTCCAACCACCGGGTAAATAATACCACGCCCGAAGGTTCAGCCAAGGATCCATGCACTGGATCTGCTTCAGTCCGTACTAATGCAAAGGCGTTCTCTCCAACAAACTCCTGACCATCTCTCTCGACCTTGAATCTCAATGCCTGTTTGTATGCGCCTCCTTGGAGGCGCAGCAGTACCACGAGTGCCGCCACGCTGTCGTCGTCGATGCTCTTTGTCCTCCACCATAGTGATAACTTATGTAGGTATCTCTTGATGCCATATCGAGCTACTCCCGGCTTCCAGCCGGGTGGTACTTGTCTCGTGCTCTCCTCTAGTGGCAACGACTGTGGTCTCGAATCGTCCATTCTGACTTGTTGATTCTCAATCGGGTGTCTGTAAGATTTACCGTCTGTGTTCTGGATCTGGGAGTACGTGCACTTTACCTGGTATGATGCTCTCGTCCCAAGGGTAGCTCTCAGTACCACTAAGATAGGAAGTCCCACCAAGCCGTGGAGCCAATGAAATAGATAATGCAGATGTCCTCTATGAGGTGAATGCTGACCCTGTGGATCGCTGTGCCGATCTCGTCGGCAATGTCGCTCACCCTGTCGGTAGCGCTGCTCACCTGGTCGGTAGCGCTGCTCACCTGGTCGGTAGAGCTGTCCATGAAGTATGATATCGCGGCTCGCGGCCTGGCGGGGCGGGGCCGCGCGCGCCGCCCGATGGGCGGCTCCGCTACCAGAGCGGAGATCGCTCTGTTTTCAAAGAGCTTGAGCCCGGGTACAATTGCAGATGTATAAATCGGTAAAGCCAAGCCAGCACACGATACTCTGATAAGACCAGATACTGTACCTGTCCTACCTCAGATCTGAAAATTCCCCCCCCTCCCCCCCCCTCCCCATACCCCCCCCCCCTCCCCCTCGAAAACCGAAGAACGGGGGGGCGCTGCCGGTTCGACCCCCCCCCCCCCCCTCGAAAACCAAAGGGGGGTCACAACCGTTTCGAACCCCTCCCCGCCCCCTCCTCTCACCGCCAGCAAACGACTCCCGGCCCCTACCACCGTCCTCACCACACACCCCACTGTTGTCCCCAGCACCACTCACCAACACTGCCCCCGCTGGGTCCACCACCGCCCCTACTGTCCCCACCAATGCCACCACCACTGTCGCACTGTCCCCACTGCCCCTACCACTGTTCCCACCGCGGTTCCACTCTCCCAACTTTCTCCACGGCCCCAACCACTGCCCGACTATCCCCACTGTCCCCACTGTCCCACTGACTCCTCCGCTGCCCCACTGAGCTGTCCCACTGTTCCCACCATTGTCCCCGCTGTCCCCACCGCTGCCCCCACTGTACCTCTGTCGCATTGTCCCACCGCCGCCCTCGCCACCGCCTTCACCACTGCCCCCGCCACCGCTGTACCCTCCAGTGTCCTACTGTTTCCGCCACATTGTCACTAAGCTGTCCCCGCGCCGCTGTCCCCACCACCACCGTCCCCGCCACTGTGCCACTGTCCCCGCTGTTCCCACTGTTGTCCTCACCATTGTCCCCTCCGCTACCGCCCCCACCGCTGTCCCACTGTCCCCGCCACTGCCTCGCTGTCCCCTCGCCACTACCCCCGGAACCATCGCCCCCACCACTGTCTGCACCCCCCCTCGGTTTTCGAGGGGAAGGGGGGGGGGTCGGGCCGGCAGTGACCCCCCCCCCGGTTTTCGAGTTCGAAGGGGGGGGGGGGGGGGGGAGGAGGGGTTCGAACCGGCAGTGACCCCCCCGTGACCCCCCCCTCCCCCTTTTCATGATGAGCTGCGGAGGGGGGCGGAGGGGGGGGGGTCGAACCGGCGGTGACCCCCCCCCGGTTTTCCGGAAGAAGGGAGGGGGGGGGGTCGAACCGGCACGTGGCCCCCCCACCGGTTTTCAGCCAGCAGCGGTAGAACACGTTCTTTCCGACATTTAGACCACCCGCGCCGTCTGTGTAGAGTATGCTGCAAGGGCCGCGCGGCAGTTGCCATCTTCAGCGGACAGCATCGATGACCGCATGGCGTTCTTAATGATAAAATTCAACTCCTGCACCCAATCGAACTCAACGACCAACGACGTGAAATGTCATGTGCTTGGCGCCCCAATCGAACGCCGGACCGCGCCCACTTTCCTCGTTGAACTTACCTGGCAGGCTACCCGGTGGGACGGTTGATTTGCCGGGTCTTCCAAAGCTCTGCGTTCCCGGCAGTGGGCGCAACCTTTCCTTGCCATCGATAGCCCAACTGCATCAAGTTCAGGCAGGCCGCTGCGCCGCAGGCAACCAGGGAGCACGACTCGCAGCTAGGCTGCTGGTAATAGGCAGGTTCCCCTGCCACCATGTCCGCTGTCCTTTGGGCCCGGGTCGGCCGATCGCTGACGGTTTACCTCGCGCCATCGGCGGGCGGCCCTGTTGCGCCGCGTGCAAGCCTGCTGCGCCTGGCACAGACCGCGGATATATGCCAGCATCTGGCGCCCACTTGCGTCCACGTCGGCGGCGAGTGTCTGCGCTGGTGCACCCGCCTGCTCCGGCGAATGCTCGAATGCCACATGGGCATCATGCTCGGGTCGCTGCGCAGAACCATGCCTAACGCAAGTCCTGCTCGACAGTCGGGCGCGCGCGTGGATTGTGGGCCGCCCGCCCCCGCCGTTCTTCGCGCCGCCCGCGCGCCTCGGCGCGCGCGGCGGCGTCGCGACCAGAATCGGGCGCGCCATGAAGACTGGGGCGAAGAGCCGGCCCTGCGCGCGCGGGCCCGCCGCGCGCCTCGGGCCTGGGGCCCAGATCCAAGGTGGCACCGAGCCTGCGCCCTGACTGAGGCGCTGCTGCAAGCGCCGCATCGACTCGATTGCGGCCGCCGCTCCGTCGCGCAACTGACGCCCCAGTGCTTCCAC